TTTTTGTTTCGATTTTAGATGATGACACTCTGATTTAAAATGGTTACTTTTATGACAATATGAGGAAAACTTTTCTCTCTTGTTTTGAAATGAGGCTTTAAATGCCTTTGAATCTGATTAATTATTTTCACCTCTTCTGTTAAATTCGTCAATTAATTTCTCTTTTAAGAATTCTGGATTCAGTTCCGATTCTGATCTGGCTTCAAGAGCCGTAATGAGCATATCCTAAGAACTAGGCATTGAACAAAGCAAAAGTGCCGAAACGTGTTCGTCTTTTATGTTCTTACCTATTGATTTGAGTTCATCGACTAACTCCGTAATTTATTATGTTTTGCATATTTCCGTCTTCCTCACTTCAACTTAAAGCTTTCGCAAAAGAAATAGTTTACTTGAAAGATTAGACCTTTCATGTCTGCCAAGTTTTTTATGGCTTTAGCAGTCATGTTTAACGTGAATTATTTGGCTGTCTTCGATAAATAAATTTAGTATCGCACGACATTGCCGATCCCGTTTATTCCATTGTTCTGTAATTCAGTGAATTACTCCTGAATTTGGAGTAATTCTCTGCTAACAATAATAAAAATATTCCAATCAACAAACTGCGCTCCTTCTGCGACTTTACCCAGCCGTTGCGTAATCGTCTATCTGAAACAGCAGTCTCCTACACTGCTAACTAAGCACAAAATAGCAGCCCTAACATTTTTGGAAAGTTAAATAATGCCACATATATACTCATTGTATGTATTCATGCATATACATGGCATTATTCAACTTGTAAGGTTCTACTGTATCTAGAAGCTTCTGTCAAAGTTCTTCAGACCTACTAGAGTGACAGCGAATTATCCATTAGTCTGAAACAAATCAAAAATCTAAAGATGGTTAAAATAACCTGCTTATGTAAGTCTTTATTGGATAGAAAGGCACAGCTTGCGCGATAGACAAAACTCCGCGACTTATGGGTATTTGAATTCTCATAATGGAAAGTTAAATTTCAAATGTAGATAGCGTAGTCTGAGAAAACATATGAAATAAACTACATAAGCCAAAAAACGACCAACGTCAAGTGCTGATCTTTTGTACTGATCGGCAGCTCTTCAAGCAGGCGGCAGTACCAAAAGTGAAAATTCTACTTAGAATCCGCGTTTACAATTTCCTTTCTAGTTAAACTTACATTGCTTGCCCTATAATTTGCGTAACCTTCTGAACTGAACGTGCCGGAGTACGTGATGGAACAAGGCATAAAAGGAATAAATAAAGATAAAAGTAATTGTTAGTAAAATTTAAATCATAAATTTTACAGACTGATTATAATGAATAGATTGAATACATTATGAATTAATATTTACCAGACCTCGACAGGTATTAACGAACTATAATTTGTTACTGCATGATGTACGCTATACTATAGAAATCACAATTCATATACTTCAACAAAATCTTAAACATCTTACGTTAAGACTTTATTTCTTAATATTTTGCCCAATGCTTGTCAAGTTATTCTGCTTCATTTTACTAAATTTGCGCAATCATTATAAAAAGTGTGTGTAAATAAAAGCTACATTACAAGAAGCATGTCCACCTTTTATGTATTTAATTATAGGCGTCAAGTTATCGACAATGAAAGGCGCTACATTAGGATTCTTTTGTATGTGGATTATGTCAACATTTGTGTTACAAGTGAGTTATGGTGGTACTTTGATTGGCTTTTTAACTTTTCCAAATCAAGAACCTAGCATTGCAACACTGGAAGATTTAGCTTCAGCCATTACTAAGAGAAACGTTAAAATAGCATTTAAAATTCACTCTTTGGCGGAATCGTTGCTGGTAAGTAATTATCATAATGTGTTCCTTATTATTCCGTTTTTATTATCGTCCTTCACTGAACCTGAATATTTGAATTGATATATTTCTAAGGATATTTTGCAGCGCAATATTTGTTCAATACCCGAAAAGTACTTAACTTAAGCTGCATTTATTTTTTATTGATTAAGTAACAATGCAAGCTGATGAATCAATAAATAGATTTGAATAAAGATTTCATAATATTTTTAATACATGTTAAAATAATCCCAACATTTATATTATTTAAAAAGCGTGATCTTATGAAAATCGGAAGAAGAATGCAAAAATTATACCTTAAATAGATTAATGTTTTACTAGAAATTATTTACAATTAAATTTAAACAGGATTTTATAAAAAGGAAAGTGGCATACACGTTATTCGTTAAAACATCGTCTTTATGCAGTAATATTTAAGAAAAAGCGCGCAAGACCTTGAATTTCCGTGCATTTTTACACGATTATAAGACACATAACAAGATAATACTTAAAAGGCCTAATGGTCATCATTTTCAGAAGAAAACACGAAAACTGATTCTGAAGTATTAAATAGCATATGTATTAGACAAAGTGAATCTGAACAAGTGGGGAAAACTTTAGGGGGTAAAAAAAACAGCTAGCTAAAAAGAGCAATATTCGTCAAAGAAATGTATGGTCGGAACGCAAGCGGTGAGAAGTTAAAGAGTAGCTTTCCACTGCCACATTTAAAGAATTAACACAAGAATGAGAGGGGATACTTCAGAAAACATTTTATTAACAGGAATATAATCAATGTACATGCTCAAAAGACCTTCCTCCAGCTATAATGCAGGCTTTAAACCTGCGCGATAGGAGGGACTGAGGCGCATTTGCGAAGACACTAAGCATTTCCTGAGTATCACCGGCAACAACGGCGAACCTGACGATTAGATCCATATTTGTTTCAACGGAGGGGGAGCATTCGGGGTAGATTAAGCTTTTCATGTGGCCGCTCAGGGAAAAGTCCAAACACAAGAGAGACTGTGATCTTGGTGGCCAAGTTATCGGACCACCTCGACCAATCCATCTTGCTGGAAGTTCCGTGATTCTTATAACCAGCCATCGTCTTGGCAATCCATGGTAGTAAATGCCGTTGGCCAATGCTAATGATTATCTATTACGGAGTGCCTATAGTTCAAAACAACGTACCTCCACATCAGGAAAATTTAGATAGTGCATAAATTGCATAAATCGTTGACATGATGATAACTAGAGGGAGCCACGTAGGCTCGATCTAAGTTTGATCACCTGAAAAAAAATATTGGAGTTTGGATGAAAAGTTATGCCACGGTTATTATACTTGTTTGATTGTCCTCAGACATTTACTTGTTTCGCCCTTTCTTGAAAATTTCTTTCGTGGTATAATATTTAACTCAAATTAGACCGTAAATCAGCATCTTGTTCAGCTTTCCGCTGATAAACCTAGGTTCATTTGTGAATGAAGAATTGCGAAGCTGATTAAAAGAAAGTAAAAAGCTATCGAATAAAACGGGCAATGTACTATTGACTGATAATTGTTCATTATGTAAATAAAGGACCTTTGAAGAACATAAAAAAATGCATCATGACTTTTCAGACAACCCAATAGCTTTCCCCATATCAACATTTTATTTAATTAAGCTAAATAATCATAAGCCTTCAATACACATGACCAAAACTACAGGATAAGTGACACTTTTGAGTGAACACAGAAAATAACATATGATAAGCTACCAAATAATGGCAAGCTACTTATTTCCCCACACGTAACGCTTATCAGTGGATGAAAGACTGCTAAATAGGGGAGTTCGACCGGGATTCGATCCCAGGCGAACGGGCTGGCTGCATTATTGGTTTTTCATGGTCTTTTCAATGTATAACATGAATAAGTACCAGTTTTTCTTAAGAATTCCTCTCCTTAGGAAGGTAGCTCTTGTGGGCTTTATCATATTCCAATAACCATAACCATCCCCTCCACACTAGTACAAAGTAAATTAAATAACAAATCAAAGCAGACCTATTTTGGAAAACCTCGCTTGTTGGAGAAGAGCATAGTCGAAATACGATTTAAAAATGTTAACTACCGCCCAGGCAATTTGATATTTCAATAGGGAATATATATACACCATTAATTATGCTATAATTACAACGCCAATTTTGGCAAGCCAATTATTTGGTGATTTAGTTCTTGAGGCAGATATTTCCTTTCCGCCTCTAGAGCACGGATTAGAACTTGCTTGTTTTCTGGCAAAGGACTGTGAACTCTTCTTCATAATCTCTACATGTAATAAAAGGAAGAGTATGTCTAAATGCTTGCGTGCCACTGTCGGCGAAAAAAAATTCCGCAAGTGCTTAGTTTACATGAGTGGCGTTCTAGCCAACATGCGCCAAGACCAGCGCCAAGAACAAGATATCTCCAAATGTGTCGCAAACATTAATCATACAAGAAAGACAGTTAGTATTTAACAGTCATAATGCCTTTTCTCAGCACATATAGTCGTCCATTTAACACACCATCACCTTAACACTACCATAATGATACTTCTCTTGTATACTTTTCTGCTAATACGCCTCACCCTTTTCACACCAGAGGAATAGACATCTGGAATCCGATTGCAGACTGAATCATCGGACAATAAAATACTGGCGCAGAGGGTGCATAGTCCAATTTCAGTGGATCTGATTCCACTGCAAACGCGTTTTGCGGTACGATCTGGTTAAGGAATAAGCAGATGATCGGTCTTCCAGCATACGGTTTTACGTAATTCATAGGTCGGAACACAGTTTGACAAAATATTGTTGTTACTCCTATATTGAAATATAGTCGACTTGCAAACTGCTTGGCAGGGTAATGTAGATTGTCTTCAGCTGTTAGTTATAAATAATTATTTTCTTAAATAGTTGTTGAAGAAGGGCTAACTTCCGCAACTGAAACACATTCTAGTGAATTAAAATACTGTGTAAAACTTAGAAGCAATACTTTGCATTATTCTAAACTCCACAGAACTTTGGTGATTATGAGATATTTTTTCAGCTTTTTTAAAATCCTTGCGCTAGGAACATAACCAAAAGGATGTCTTTGAAACATACTGAAAATTTTCCGTTAGTAATTTTGTACTTTCAGGTTCAGATTAAACACAGTTCGTAGGTCATGCTAATTTGCATTCATCTGCTCTCGAAGCACTTCATAACCTCTAAACAAAAGAATCGGAAATTTGCATATTTACCTACTTTCAGCTACGCATGTTTTAATTATGGATACCACTGTAAGTTGAGCTGTTTGAGCCTGTGGTGATAACTTTGCAAAATGGGATGTACATCCTTATAAATTTGGGAGACTTGCGTACATACATGGCAAGTATCTTAGTGTGCAATTTGTATTTTCTGCAATTTTGCGTTCTTTAAACACCAATTAATAATGAATTAAGAGCTAACCTATGTTTTTCATTTTAAAAGGTTGGAAATGTGAAGCATGGCCGTCTGTTCCAGGAAACCATTAATCGTGTCCCTGAATCGAAAGTTCGAACCCACGAAGAAGGTTTCCGGAAAGTTTTGATGGAGAATTTCGTTTATTTTGCCAACAAATTTGGTTGTACATACGATTCATTCCAAGGCGAATTCGAGAAACTACAGATGCATGATGTCTTCCAAGCCAATTATATAGGAATTGCTGCCTCCAAGGATTTCAAATATTTGAAAGAATTCAACATTGTGTAAATATCTGCATTTTGGTTTCTTTAATTAAATCCCCCCTCGTGAAGAAGGAAACGGACCTCGTATTGCGCTTCCTAGGGAAAAGAGAGAAAACTTATCTTTCTCTGCACTAATAGACTACTTTAAACTTTAAATATAGTTAATTTTTTTTATCTCTACCTTTTAACTGTGTAGAGACATTAGGTATTTTTTGGAAGCAGACAAGGTGAAAAATTAGCAACGCCTTCGCCGGGAATCGAGCCGCGGACCTCTCAACTACTCGCTGAACGTGCAGACCACTACACCACGAAGGCTCCCTAAGAAGGCGGGAGAAGTACCATATAACTGATATGTTCATAAAGGTTTAGAGATATGTATAAAAGCAAAAATTTATTTTTAATTTTTGGATGCTTTTTCCTTTATTCAAGCTTTTTAATGGATTGCAGTTTTGAAGGAGCAGTTATGTTCTGTCTGATTTAAAATTGGACTGGCTTAGTATTAGTTTAATATACTCTTAATTTTATAATTTTTAACTTTTGATATTTCCTTTACCTTACAAAAACTTTGGGCATTAAAAATGTACCTTGTATACAGGGCATTGAAAATGAAACGTAAAAAAATACGAAAATCAGTATATCTGAATTCACTTTCTCAGTTCAGATTTTGTATTTTTTCTGAATTTTAATTTCTTGAATTTCATTAACTCTGTTCGCGATGAAAGGTCTTCCATTACTTGGCATTTTCGCGGATCCAGCAGAGAGCTACTATGAATAGGCCCACAAGAAGTAATTATCCCCTTGTAAAATTGGGTTTTAAGAAGTTGAATGTTCTTGCTCTAGTGAGTGTCGTCATCAACATCCGTGGCAATGTTAACTTCTTCAGTCACGCTGCACTTCATTTACATGTTACAAAGCTAATTTCAAAATTTCCATCTTGAATGTTGGCTAGCAAACAACTAATACGGGAATATTAACTGGCAGAGCTGAGCGGTAGCAAATAAAGTTGCAAGTATCTTTGCCAAAAGGTCTACCTCTAAAACACTCAAAAATGTACCTTAAACATTCTTTAGCATCCTAGTGAGGGCTAGTGCAAAGGAGAAGATATAGTAAAGATCGAAATCATAAAAACTGCTTAATTTACATAAAATAACGTATAAGAAAGCACGCATTATATTTTAAAAAAAGGTATGTATTGTAGTACTCAGCATTAAAGATATAAGATTAAAAACGTCAATTACGTCCAAAGGGGCGTTTTTTTAACTTTTTGTGTGTTACCTTTATTCATTAAATATCATGTTCTTTGCACTTAAACATTAAAATTCAGTTCAACAGCAATGTCGCTTTTAAAAGGCTGGTGGCAAATTGTTACCACCAAATACTATCACCCTGTATTATATTTGAAGAAATTAAATAATGAAGAATCTGCATAAATGTGTGTATGTTCATCACAAAATTCAAAATAAGAATTCTTTAGATAATGCGTTATTTTCTCAGATTTCCTAATCTACTGAATGGGTAATAACTATTCTACTGTAAAGTAATAATAAACAGACAATCAATCATATTAATATATAGTATGTTGTGTTATTAGTTATTAAATATATTTTATCACTGTTAAATTCAACCTGTAGTATCGTACGGATTTTTTTTTTAGCCCAAAGGGGCTTTGTCCCTGAAGGACTATTGTTTTCGTTTTGCGATTTTGCGTTGAAACTTAAGGGCTGGTTGCAAATTGTTGCCACCAATACTGTTGTATTTGAAAATTAATAATGAAGAATCTGCATAATGTGTATGTTTCTCGCATTGTGATTACAACGGTAACTTAGAGCCATTCAGTTTTGAATGACGTAATTTACTGCGAATATGGGCATCTGAAAGCAAATTTGAAATTTGTTACATGTTTTTAACGATTCATATTTTGTAAAACTTTACGAATTTTGATTAATAAACTCAACGATTTAAAAGCGAGCAATGGCAACACACTTTACTTTTTATTTCCAGCGCGCCGAACTGTGTATCGGAAATTCTAAAGATATGCTCATTTTAAAATTTTTTGCGACATTGCTGTTGAACTGAATTTTAATGTTTAAGTGCGCAGAACATGATATTTAATGAATAAAGGTAACACACAAACCGTTAAAAAAACGCCCCCTTGGACGTAATTTAAAATCTGAAACCTTTCAGATATTTTTAGTCCAAAGGGACTTTGTCCCTGAAGGACTATTGTTTTCGTTTTTCGATGTTGCGTTGAATCACTATAAATGTCCGTTTCACTTTTCAAACTGTTGCCACCAAATGACAGAGTCCTGCATTATATTTGAATAAATTAAATAATGAGAAATCTCCGTTGTTGTTGTTTTTACTAATCTCCATGCCTAGGAATATACTAGACGAGGTCCATGAGTCCATTCACCTTTAGAAAATCGAAAACTAGCTTGGGAGACCCGTAAAGGTCCACGAGAGACAAATCCAAAAGGCACTCAAGGATATGTGCCGGTGATGCGGGTGCATTATGACACTTAGAACAAATTGGGACACTTGATACCAGGGATGACTCGGGGGAACGACCCATATCTGCCTGTCAGCAAGTCGTCTAATGTAATGCAGTTAAAGATGTCAGTGATTGATAATTGGCAAGGGTCTTCAGAAGCCTCCCTCGCAGAATGTCGGCCATTTCATCCCCCATATATCAACATGGGAAGGATCCACTGAAGATGCACTTCAAGTGACGAACGCCTAATTTTGCTAAAATTGCGGTCCGGGCCCATCACCAACTCTTTGCCAGTTTGAAGATATTTCATAGCGCACGACTGTCAGACAAAATCCATACTGCCTAAGATCTGAAGTACAAAACGCATTTATTTCCCTCTTCGTGGCTTAATCTCACTCTTAAAACCGAACGAAGTCAATTCTTTCTTTATTTTAACAATATTTCCATTTTGTGCATTTAATGACAACAACACTACCGGAGCGAGAGTCTCGCTTTACTCCCATCAGTATAGATGAGGGTAGCTTCAGCGGAAGTGCATGTATAGTTTCCAAGGCAGATTGTCGTAACAAGGCCGGAATATCATTTTTCTTGAAACTCTACACGAAAGTTCCGCATGGAACCCGACTCCAGGGAGTCCCTCAGACGGATCTAAACATTGCTTCAAGGAATGCTGCTCGAAATTACGGTCAATTATACCAGCATACTCAATTTGAGAAAGTGGACTATTTTTCTTTTAGGTCTTTGGTTATTACTCCAGTGCTGCAGAAATTCTGAAGTTCTATTCTGGGAGCCGTAACTGAGAAGTTTATTATAATATTTTACGAGGCCTGCATTTCTTCTTAGACTGAGGGGTTGAAGATCTGTTTCATACAACGCAATTTTATTCGGGCAACTGTTGCGCAAGCCAGTTATAATGCGAGAAGCACTGAGTTGGACTCTTTCCAATTTCTGGAGGTTGGTGGAAGAGGCACAACAGTAAACGGGGAAACCGTATTCCAAAATAGGACGTATGATAGCTAAGTAAGTAGTTCTCAAAGTGCAAGCATCGGTTCCCCAATCACGTCCCGAGATATACTTCAGAATGTTTAGGCGTTTCCTGCCTTTAGAAACCAGCGCATCCACATGTTTGTTACTAGTGATCTCTGGATCGAGAACGAAGCCCAAATATTTTGGATGTTTGTCATATGTAAGAGGCAAATTATTCATAAAAACCTTTGGATGATAATTATAAATCTAACTATTGGTGGTAAAAATACTAACAATAGATTTAGCTGGATTAAAACTCAATTTGTGGTCTTTCGAGAATTTCCACACTTCTTCAAGGATAAAATTTATATTGGTCTCAATTGAACTCACATCTGGGCCAGAGCTCCAAAGGGCAATATCGTCCGCAAATTGTAGTATCATCCGCAACCTCACATCTTCTTGATATAATCTTCTCAATTCCAGCCAAATACAGGCAAAAAAGAATTGGGCTCAACAAAGAACCCTGGGGGACGCCTTGGCTCAATTTAAAAGTGTTTGACATAGTGGAATTAAGCTTTACTTTTATCAATCTATTTCTGAAGAAATCTGCGATCCAGGATCAAGGCTTTACCCCTGATGCCAAAGTCTTCGCATAGCTTAACTAATTAGTTTATGTTTCTATATACGGTCAAATGCCTTTTGATAGATCTAGAAAAGCAGCCACAGTATGATTGGTAGGTCGTTCGTTTGTTTTGGGCATCTCTAATCTTCTGGCTGAGATAGACCAATTGATCAGTGGTGCTATGACCTCTTCTGAAACAGTATTGTTCTTTTGGATAGGAGGTCGTGGGTGTCCAGGTGAAAAGAGCAACCGCCCCATGATCATTTTTTCCATGACTTTACATGCAGTGCTGGTTAGGGACAATGGGTCTAAAGCTCCCAGGAGATCCATCGGTTTGGCCAGGTTTCTCAACAGGTATAATTGTGGCTCTTTTCCACTCCTATCTTGGAGTCTAGTCACAATCTTGGAGTCTAGGAAGGCTTCCTAGACTCCAAGATTGATTTACTATATTCAGAATTTTTTTTTTTTGCATGAATGCCAAGATGCCCAATCATCTGGCCATAGATACCATCAGCTCCAGGAGTTTTGGTCAAGTCAAGATCCCCAAGTGCCATTTCCAATTCATGCATGGAGAAGGATTTAATGAAAAGGGTATTGCCCGAGACAGCACTACGACATCCATGTGCAAGATCTCGAGACCTTTTTCTCACTTTTTTATCAACTTCTGTAAAAGTCATCTCACTTATCTCCTGCTAATGTGCCCCGAGGAGATCAGCTGCAGCTTTTTCGTCTACAGGGATGTTGCCATCCGTATCTAAGATAGTATTATCATCTGTATCTGAGGTTGTTCACTTTGCTAATATTTTTGATCAATTTCCACAATTTCGTGTCAGATGATCTAGCATCAAGTCCCTCACATATATCCATCCTTTTTTCCCTTTTCCTCTTAAGTAGCACATAAGTTTCTTTTTATTTCTGCATTGACTTTGTTCATCTCTGTCTTGTTTTGCTCTGTATTATTGTTTTTTTAATTCGAGTCGCAGGTTCTCTCTCTTTTGGAGCAAGGCTGCAAAACCGGCGAATCATGAGTAAAGTAAGGATTAAAAAGCTTTACCTCTTCCTCTAGGTATAGTTCTTTTAGCTAGCTGCCCAAAGAGCATATGCTTGAAAGTAATCCATTTAGTATCAAGGTCACTTGAATGAATGCTAGGTTCAGCCGGGTGTCAACAAGATCACCAAATGCCTTCAGTCTGCCTTAGCAAAATTCCAATATTTTTTACGATTAAGGAAAGTACACACTGTTCTTCTTCTTTATTTTAATTATTGGAGAATGATCACTCCCAATATTCTTCATAACTGTCCAGGTGCAATTTGGAAAGATAGTGGGGCTTACTATAGACAGGTCAAGGCTTCAGACTGTGATAGCTATATAGAATGCGTTGGTGTACCATCATTACGGATCTGAAACCTGAGTCATCAAACAGAATGAAGAAGATTAAGTCCTCTCTGGTTCTGGAAAAGCAACCCCACGCTGGGTGCTTAGCATTTAAATCACCCAGAAGTAGAGTATTTGGCTAACCTTTGGAATATGGTAACAGGTAGTTTGGCGACATTTTGGTAAGGCGATAAAGGTTACTAGCTAGGACTTTAGCAGTGTACATGGATAAAGTCAAGAGTGTGCGCAATGCCATTTTTGTGCAATCCTGGGATGTTTTTTTAAGTGAAAATAGGTAGACGTGTACATGGATACTGTGTATGTGCAATTCTTAAAAACGCGGCAAGTAGTTTGCGATCCTGCACTTTCTCCCAATTTCGCACCTACTTATGAATAAGCACTTTTGTTCCATAAAAGTTCTAGCATAAGCGTAATTCGACTAGCAGATTGTAGGGGAAAAAAATGTTGAGTTAAAAAAAATGCCTTTACTTCGTGAAAACAAAATGGCGTCCAAACAAAAACTACCAGGTTGCTGTAGCAGGGTTTGTCGCCAAAGTTTCGCCAAAAAATCGCCAAGTTACCATAATCCAAAGATTAAACGAGTATTTCCAGATAAAAGATTATCAAGGACTCCAGGCAGATTACCAATGTTGGGAGATGATATAATTAAAGATGTTTAGTAGTTACCTCTCACAAACAGTGACCCTTGCAACTCTAAATCTGAACCAGTGGGTACATTATAACTTTTGGAATATACGTATTTACGCGATATAATGCGCATCGTTTGGCCAAATGTAATATTCAAAATGGGGTGCGCATTAGATTCGAGTGAAGTTCGCCGTGACGTCAACCAATTTAATCGTAACATGGTTAGTAATTTGTCGACTGATTTACCGTTACATTTATCGTGACACATTATTGCTAAAGATAAACTGCAGAGTACGTAGTCATGAAAGAGAGGGCAACAGAGGAGAATGTCATATGACGCACGTTCAACGTAAAGTAATTCTTTATGCTGAAAAAAATGGCAATAGAAAGGCAGAAGAAGTTCAACGTAGCTGAGAGCAGTGTTCGCTTGTGCGGGCAACAGAAATTGGCACTGTTTGCAACTAAAGCTAGTAGAAAAAAATTCACTGGCTCTCGCAAAGGAAGACCACCCTAAATTGAAGAAAAAGTTTTGGAATTTGTACGTGAAAGGAAGAAAAACAACCTGTGACTAGTGACACCATAAGAAAAGCAAGAGGAGGCTGAAGTTCTTGGAATAAAACGAAACAAGAGTTTAAGGCTAGCCGTGGATGGGTGGATCGGTTATGAAACGGATGGGCTTATCTCTAAGACGCCGTACAACAATATGCCAAAGCTTCCTTCAGATTTTGAGGGAAACTACTAACATTTCAGCGTATGTCATCACACTTCGGAAGGAAAGAATTTTTTCAATGGGGGCAAATTGCAACGCTGACGAGACGCCAATTGGTTTGATATGCCTCATAACTACACCATTACGGAGAAGGGGACTAAGGAAGTATCATTAAACTTGGGGATTGTAAAACACGCGTAACATTGATGCTGCATAACAGCAGACGGGTGCAAACTTCCCCCTTTTTAATCTTCAAACGGAAAACAACCTTAAAACCCTAAGAATGAAAAGCTGTTCTCAGATGATTCCTGATTCGAAACCAGAGAAGGGGTGGATGACGGAATCATTAATGCTGATTGGCCCGAAATGTATGGGAACGCCGTCTCGTGGCTCTTCAATCCACCATCAATGCTTTATCTGGACGCATTCGTGGTATCTCACCGACGACGTGAAAAACACGCGCAGCCTAGCAGTGATCTTGTATCATTCCTGGAGGGATGACGTCTTTGTTACAACCTGGACGTTAGTATAAAAAACCTTTTATGAGGTGCGTTCAGCGGGAGTACGAAAATGGTTTTGAGCCAAACCGTGAATTGAACCCGATAGGAAACATTCAGCGTACTGCACCGCACATTGTTGCACACTGGGTTTTCTGCTGCCTGGAAAGCATCGAATATCCATGATTGCGAATCTTTCAAGAAATGCTTCATTTCAATTCATTGAATGGCAGTGAAGATGACGTGCTCTGGAACGCCGAGATGACGATGAGGAAAGAAGAAATGAATCTGCTTTCTGACGAAGAGAGCTGCGAGGATTCAGTGTGAAAACAGGTGAATAAAGACGATTACTATTAATCACGGTTTGTAGAAACTGATAGCTATAAATGTTACGATTTTCATGTTCCATATTTTACGATAGGTACCGTATATACGGTAGTGGTAATTAACAATGATTTTTTCACATAACAATAGCCCACTAATAGGTTAATTCTATGTTGTGCTACTTTATGTATAAATCCATTGTTGTATAAAATATGGTATCTAAATTTAAATAAAATTATCATACCATTGATTGATAGTTTATATACAAATCCATGTTTGTATAAAATAAGATTCAATAAATTCCTCATACCATTGATGCGCATTACATTCGCCGACAAACAATTTTTTTATTATTTAGTTTTAAAATGGGGATGCGCATTAGATTCGATGGCGCATTAGATTCGCATAAATACGGTAGTTAGTGTCTCTGATAAGGAAAACAAGTCCACCGCCTCCTTTCGCTTGTCTATCTAACCGGATGATGTTGTATCCCTTAACTTTTAGTTGAGAATTCTCTCTCTAAAGTGAACTCTAAAGGAAACTAAATTGAGAATTCTCAACTTAACTTTTAGTTGAGAATTCTCAATTTAGTTTCCTGTAGAGCGATAATTTGAGCTCTCTGGTCTTCAACTAACTCCAAGTATTTGGTCAAGTTTAGATTTCGCTGCCATTGTTGAAATACCATTAATATTACATTGGATTATTTTAAGAGTTCGTAGTCTAGAAGACTGAAGATTATTTTTCGGAACGAGGTCCTCTTCCTAAACCTCGAACGCTCCCCTTTTGAACCTGCGCGACGGGAACGCAGTATTAATTCACATTAAAAAGCTTCATAACTCCTGGGTGGAGGAAAAGGGCAGCCTCTGTAAGTCGTGAGACCCGAGCACCAATGGATAGAGGACTGAGCTCAGTATGTAGACTTTAGCTGTATGTAGGCTTTAGCTGGGTATAATGGAATAGCCTTCACGCCTAGGGTGGCCCTACCAGGAGTATACACTCCCGACGTACTTCGCCTATTCCACCCAGTGCCATCCCCTCGCCACAAGCGGTGGCACTGAACATTTACGGAGAGAAATCTCCGTAAATGTATGTACATTTCTCGCATTGTGATAAAACAACGGTACATAGAACCATCGAATTTTGAATGACGTAATCCTCCTACGAATATGGGCATGTGGAAGACCAAATTTTCAATTTGGAATTTGTTTTTTTATCGATTTCATATTTTGTAACACTTTAACGAATATTTGATTAACAAACTCAATGATAAAAGCGAGCAATTTTTATCTCCAGCGCGCAACTGTGTATCGGAAATTCAAAAGATATGCCCATTTTTAAATTATTTGCGACATTGCTATTGAACTGAATTTTATGGTTTAAGTGCGAAGAACGTGATATTTAATAAATAAAGGTAACACACAAAACGTTAAAAAACGCCCCTTTGGACGTAATTTAAAATCTGAAACCTTTCAGATTTTTTTTTTTTTTTAGAAGTAGGAGACGTGAAAAATGTGTATTGTCCTCACATGGATTCGAGCACTGGACCTCCTGATGCTAACCCGAGGTGCTCCAATTACACCACGAAGGCACGCAGTAAGGAGGAAGAAAATACCACACAAACAAAGAAAATCCCTGTAGTATCTTTTTAAAAAGATCTTTGGAAATAATTTTATAAATACCTTATAGAAAATCTTTAAAATTAATATTTATGTTTTCTTCTAGTTAATATAAAAAATAGTAAGAATATCATTGCACTAAATGAAATGATTAAATTTATAATTTTTTCTCTTGCACTATGTTACAGAAATTTCAATGACGTTCCTTCACCATAAACTTCGACGCTAGCTGTCATAGTAAACTGCAATCCACCTAACATGCCTCTTGCCGCTCTGAGATGTCTTTCTGAATCTTTTATTTCTTTGTTTTTTAATTTAATGTACTTTGTTTCCAGATTGCGGCGTTTGGCAGAGCGAGGACTGATTGCCAAGTGGAGATCAGATATCTTAGCAAGAAGAATGATAGATGTTGTGTTTTCTGGCGAAATTAAAGTGGAGGAGACGGAGATTGAATCCAAAAGTCATGCTTTGACTGTTAATCATTTACAAGGAGCTTTTATCCTCCTTACTATTGGGCATTCTATAGCCACACTAGTTTTGATTTCGGAAGTTTTGTACAGGAGAGCTGTTAATAAATCTCCTTCTGGATCAATAAGAAAATCAGTAACATCCGATATTGTATCAGAATTATAAATAATAGAATTTTAGTATAAAATTTCAAGAAATTAAATGTTTTAATATAAAATTTCTTATTCGAAAATAAATTGTGTATACATGCTTGGTTCCATTTCCGTTACTTTGGTGCTTAATAGCATTTTTGTAACAGTTCTTGATATTTTAAAGGATATTAGTTATTTTCTTCCATTGAAATCTATATTTCTACCTTCGTGTCTGATCTGCTACATGTTTGTAGATTTGAATGCTATTTACCAGCTTTCTAAGATTTCTTTCCGAATAACTCAGGTAAAACAGTTGGCAGAAAAGTTTTCCATTACACTCTTTAATAAAATGGTAGTTTCTTCTTTGCTTGACGAAGTTATATCGGAATAACTGAATAAAATTGGAATGATTTCGATATAACTTCATTAAGAGCTTATGCGAACGTAGTATGTAACTAAATACGTATGTGTATGCTATTCACTTCAGATGTAAAATAATCATTAATTCTTTACTTTTGCGTATTATATACATAGGGTGTCTGTAATTAAAGTTTACCTGCTTTGAGCTCTTTACAGCCCTAAAAATTCATCACAAAGCTATGAAATATTAGGACCGTATTAATAAAGCGATGAGACAGAAATTAAGGGCGAAGATTAATTAGTTCAGAATTTCTCCACTAGAAATCGATTAGATATTCGAAAGTAAAACGCATATGCTAACTTTCCCAACCACGTGATCTCTAGCTCACCACGAAAACTGTAGATATTTTATGTGGGTAATTACTGAAACATCTACAAAAGAACAGCTTTCATCGCTATCGTGTTTAGTTTATTAGAAAGTGCTTTGCTAGTAAATTTCTTTTATAATAACGGTTAACCTGCAGCAAAAACTTTGTGGAGATTTCGTTTTTTGCAGGGGTTTAAAAAAGATCAGTCATTGCTGATGGACAGTGAAAAATGATAGCGAAATCCTCACAAACAAGATCATTCTCTACACTCATGTCCATAAATTAAGGATAATCCGGAGTCACGCGGAAATCAAACTCTAAAATAAATATATCACCTGTAAAATCACTACACACATCTTCAAGAATCATATGCAAATTTCAGGAAGTAACCAGATGACACCGATGTACGTCACAATGACGAGAGTGTAAGAGAGTGATATATAAGGAATACAGGCAAAGAAGTTAAATTGTTCGCAGGCGCTTTATAAGCATTTCAGTGCAATAACCGAATAGTTATGACACAAAGGACGCATTTGGATGATTTTTTACGTGGTAGAATTATCGGCCGTCTGGAATGTGGGCGTACCCAACTGGAAGTATCAGATGAACTTGGAATTGCCCAGAGCGTCATCTCCAGGCTTTGGCAACGATTCCAAGATGGTGGTAATGTGAGTAGACGTTACAGCACAGGTCGCCCCAGAGTTACAACGCCAAATGAGGACCGGTATTTGGCAGTTACTGCCAAAAGAAACAGGGGGAGCACAGCCTTAGACCTGTCTAGTCAGCTCTCTTCAGCCACTGGTACGACGATTTCAAAGCAGACCGTGTACAGACGCTTAGGGCAGACTGGTCTATATGCTCGTAGACCTGTCAGATGCGTTCCACTTACTGCAACTCACTGTCGCCTGCGGTTAGCCTGGAGTAGAGAGCATGCATTGTGGGCATCGCAACAGTGGGCTTGTGGGATGTTTTCCGACGAGTCCAGGTTTAGCTTGCAGTCTGATTCTCGCCGGACTTTCATATGGAGAGCTCCAGGTACCCGTTACCACCAAGAAAACATCATTGAACGACACCGTTACGGTGGTGGAGTGCTCGTTTGGGGTGGAATTATTCTGGGCTTCAGAACTGACTTGCATGTTCAAATTGGAACCATGACAAGCCAAATCTATCGGTACGTCATTCTGGAACAACATGTACGTTTGTTTCGGGGCGCCATGGGCGCACAATTTGTGTTTATGGATGACAACGCCCGTCCTCACCGTGCAAACATCGTAAGCGAATGCCTTCAATCGGAGGATATAACCCGTATGGACTGGCCAGCATTCTCACCGGACTTGAATCCAGTCGAGAACGTGTGGGACATGCTTGACCGACGCGTTGCAGCCCGTCAACCTCCTCCTACATGTCTACCGGAACTTCGGAGAGCATCGCTTTGTGAGTGGTGTAATATCCCCCAAGATCAGATGGATAATTTGATACTTAGCATGCCTAGGCGTTGTACGGACTGTATTGCATCGTCTGGGAGACATACAATATATTAACAATCATACCAACCATGTAATATTGGTTATTTGTAAATAGGTGTTTTTTGTAATTTGCTCCAGGAAGAAAAAATCGCTAATTTTTTTAATAATATCAAACATATAGCATCTTTTTTTTTTGCTCTTTACCTTTTGTTTAATACATAAGCTTTACAAATAAGTCAAATTTATTTTGCTTCTAACTCTTCCTTTGCCTCATTTTGCATTATCCTTAATTTATGGACATGAGTGTATTTAGGAATTGTCTGGAAAAGAATAAAAACGCACTGATACACAGATAATAAATGATACAGTGGAAGAAATGGAAGAAGACAGAACATCAAACTTCATGGCGAAGGATCTAGCGCATTGCACTAGGGTTAGATCGGCAATTACCAGAATTCACAAGTCTCTCCGAATTATCCCATCTGTTAATCTGTCTACACATCAGACCTTCAGAATACAGTTCCTTACTCGCTGTGAAGTTGATACAGAAATGCACTGGAACTTTTTGTGGACGAATAAGACTCATTTTAATTTGGAGGACGCATTTAAAATATATAATCAGGACATCTCTTGAAAATCCCCATTCTTTGCTTGAAGCTCGGTTACACTCAACTAGAGTACCATTACGGTACAGATTTTCTGAATCCTTCATTCTTAGACTCCTTTTACTCTGAAAAGCTCACTCTGACAGTACTGTGACATTCTTCATCACCTAGGTAGCAATATGCATCGTTGTTCTTATCATTTTGCCATTACAGGCATGTCAACGCCTTAGAACAACAGTCCACATGCAATATGGTACTTCTCCCCAATAACCAGTTGTGTTGAACAACTTCTCATAAACCATATTTTAGTCGAAAAGAATCTGATGTGACTAGCACATGACCTCCCGCCAAATAACAACAAGCTTTAAGTAAACTATTAATTCCGGTTTATCGTTTGTAAATAAAATCTAATTTTGCTTACAAATAGTGTATGACTCGGTATTAATTATAAATAGCCGTCATTTTTATATTTCTTTTCTCCCATACAATGAGCAGTGTTAACTTAGGTCCTCATGTACACATCAGTTCTCAAGCTTTGATTTAAAAATATAACAACGATTTTACTATATCCTATGATCATATAGGGTTTCGGATTCATAAATCAATGGCTTAACTTTTAAAAACAACATATATGAAGAATTCCCGGTAGAATGTTAATCGTTGCCATTCACTTCTTTTTCAATCTTTTCCCGGTTTATAGGATTTTTCTTAATCTGGCAAAAGTTAGACAGTCTGAAAACCCCCCTTAACGAACGTTAAGCGAATTATCGATATGTCTGAAAGCAACCAGAATGTCAAATAATGGTTCAAATAAAATTTTTTATTTAAACAGAACTTACAATATAAATGCACATTCTTGTGCTAATGAAATCAAACACAGCCCACGTGATGATGTAATCAAATAGAAACAATCAGTTTCAATTTAAAACGTAGAATAGTAATCAAAGAATACACAGTTTAAATCTTAATCTAAGGTAGCTCAGTAACTCAGTAACAGACATACCAAATTCAAATGTCGGCAACTATAACGAAAATTATCAGAGCTGGCAGAAACTAAACATAGAGTACCCACGCAAGCCAAAAACACTGTCTGTCGTTCAATCCAAAACCCTCAGTATTATCTGACTAACTTGCATTTTGGTGAGGAAACGGAAAGGAGAAATTATACTTAAGACTGAAATTATAAATAACTGGCTAATTCAAATAATAATAACCTACAAGTTTATAATATTAATGTTCATATTTTTAATAAGATGCTTAACTTTTGTATTTGTCATTTTAGCTTTATTTATTGAACAAAATTTTTGTCGCTTTTACGCCGCATAAAATTCAACAACTCACAAAAATCTTTGAATTGCCTATAGGGTGTTAGTTGTTGCCATACACTTTTTATATTCGCCATATTATTAATATTTGCTACATCAGTTCTTTAAAAATAATACATAGCGATGACATTTGGTGGAAACACCTTTTTATTTGAAAAGTGATTTGACACAAAAGTAAAAAGAACACAGAACTGAGGATTGAGGCTAATGCTTTTGTTTTGTCTTCATTATGAATTTATTGTCGTTGCATTTAGCATATTTCCAAGAAAAAGGGAATTTGTCTTTTTTTTTTTTTTTTTTTTTTTTTTTTTTTTTTTTATTAGGGGGAGTAGTCGCGACATCTCAGGGATCCTTGAGCTCTTCGTTGAACCTTTGACAAATTCCATATAATCTTCCTTTATCTGGTCCTTTCATCCTCTGCGGCCTTTCTTTTTGAAGCCTCATCCAACGTGGACGATTCCTTTCCTTTTCGTTCGCGGAATCTTTTCTTTCTTTCCTTTAGAATTTTAGAAACAAAAATTTTGCAAAAATAATTTATTATATTTATGATTAATTATATTTGTAATATTATTGTTTTTTATTTACAAATATAAGCAGATTTTAAGAAACAAAATTGCAGATTAATATTATACAAAAGTTCGATTTTAATGAAGGTGATGTCTCTGCTAGATATATCGACGCAATATTTTTTAATATTTGACATAAAATTTCTTATATTAATTTGTAAATCACCTCTTCAAAAATTCAGCATGTTTCTTGTTTCCCATTCCAGTTTTATTATGTATTGCAAAATTATTCCATTTTTACTTGCTTATACGAAATACAAAGGAAGTATTGTAATCGCGAAAAGTTCCAGGCATCATATTTCAACGAAAGTATCCATTTTTACCGCTATCGAATGCAATTTAACGATGTTTTTGCGTGACATCTGTACGTAAGGACAGAATAAAAGACTCTTGTC